TTTAAGGACGATACAACGATTATAGTGGTCATATAATTTCTCGATAACATTTTTATAGTACGATTTTTCTTTAGCCTCAAAATATGCCTTTGTTTCGGTGATTACTTCTTCATCCGTGCCAAATTTCTTTCCAGCAAGCATTCTCTTGAGGTCTGAGAACAGTAAAAAGTCGCTGGCGACCAGATCTGGAGAAGACGGTGGATGCGGAAGCAATTCGAAGACCAATTCATATAATTTTGCCATCGTTTTCATTGACTTGTGACGCGGTGCATTGTCTTGATGACACAGCACTTTCTTCTTCCTCAAATGGGGCCGTTTTTCTGCGATTTCGTAGTTCAAACGCTCCAATAACGCTATGTAATAGTCGCTGTTGATAGTTTTTCCCTTTTCAAGATAGTCAATGAATATTATACCATGAGCATCCCAAAATACTGACGCTATAACTTTGCCAGCTGACTGTTGCGCCTTTCCACGCTTTGGAGTTGGTTCGTCTCGTACAGTTCACTCGACTGACAGTTGGTTGGATTCCGGTGTGAAATTATGGAGCCATGTTTCACCCATTGTCCCATATTGATGCAAAAATTCGGGTTTATTATGATTAAACAGCTTCAAAAACAGCTCAGAATCATCAATTCGTTGTTGTTTTTGTCCAATTGGGAGCTCGTGCGGCACCCACTTTGCCTAGAGCTTTCGCATACCCAAATATTCAAGATATGCTCAACACGTTCCTTTGATATCTCTAGAGTCTCAGATATTTTGATCAACTTCACTTTACGGTAATCTAAAATTATTTTGTGGACTTTTTTGATGTTTTCGTCGGTAACAGCCTCCTTGGGGCGACTACTGTGTGCATCGTCGTTGGTGCTCATTTCGCCTCGTTTAAACTTAACAAATCACTTCTCAATGGTTGATTTTCCTGGTACAGAGTCCGAATAATGTTTCCCAAGCCAAGCCTTGGCTTCAAGAGTAATTTTTTCGCTAAAAAGCAATGCTTTAAAAACACACGAAATTCCTTTTTATCCATTGTTTCTAAACTAAGAAAAGTTGCTTCACTAAAAATACTATATCTCACAAACTAATAGTCCGACAGCTGTCAAATTTGTACACGCGTCTTTCAAAGGTTAGAACTAACTAAAAATCATATGTATTTAATAATAGTAGCCCCATCTATGTGTCAGCCTACGAACTTTTCAGCCCAACTGTTATATGACAAAATGCAAAATTTGAACTAAATCAGTCAAATAGTTTTTTGGATAATAAAATTCAAAACAAAATCATATTTACAGTTCAAAAACTACCAGTTGACTACACACTGTAACAGCTGAAAAGCAATGAGTCTGAAAGTTTTACTGAAATTGATCTGAGTACGAAAATGATTTCAAAGAGTTGTAGAATTAATTTTACGGCTACTAATATTGATAATTTTGAATCCATTTTTCTGGAACCTTGGTGAGCTTATAAATTTGGACACAGCTCGATATTCAGGTTTAGGCAAATGAGGACAGCTCAAAATGTGTGTTTAAAAAATGGTGATAGCTCGAAATTCACATTTCAGAAAATGAACACGGCTTGAAATGCTTATTTATGAAATGATCACAGCTGGAAATGTGTGTTTACAAAAGTGAACACAGCTCAAAATTCGTGTTTACGAAAATGGATTGCAAAAAAGGCACATTTCTCAGTTTTCAACCAAACTTTAACAGTTAAACAAAGAACTGCATGCTTATTTTTTCCCTACTGATTTAAACACTGAGTATAATCTTTACGGGACAAAGTCTCGGACTTCGGGGTCGAGATGGTTAGTTATATTACAGATGCAACATTTCAGGTGATGATAGAACTCTCATATTCAGTTTAAATGAAAGCTTGAGTTTCAAAACTCTGAATTCCTACAACGCAAATTAACTGAACTGTTATAAATTTACAGAATCCAGGGAAAATTTTGAAAAAAACTGCTGTTGTCTTTTAAAGTCTTTCGAAAAAGACTAATTTAGTAAAGTGAACAGAGTGATGTATGGAAATGGATGATATAGTACCAATTAATTCATTGTTTAATTCTTTTAAAAAAGAACAATACTCATTTAAGTTTGAAAAACAGAATCAAATGTTGTGTCCAATTTCTTAACTAGCTATGTTTGTTTCTTAAGCACTTATTACGAGCTGTGTTCATTGTCGTAAATACACTTTTTGAATAGAGTTCATTTTTTTAAACATGTATTTAGTTTCTTTAAACATGCCATGTTCAGATTTAAAACCTTACCGGAGATAAGTTTTATAAATAAGCTATAAGAAAGTATGATTAATACAATTAATTTAATTAAATTTGATAAGGAAAATATAAATTTTTTTAATAATTCATTATGCTAATTTTCATACTTTTAAGATTAACTTAGACTAAATTCTTCGGGCAAGAATGAAGAGGTGAAAAAATTTTATTTTTAAATTTGAGTTTATATAACAGTAATATATCATAATTTTATATAACAGTAATAATCATTTAAAATTTATTATTACTTGAGACTTCATTGTTTTTAAAATACGTGCTTTTCACATTTCAATTTCTTTGTTAAACCTTAAGAAATGTAATTTTTTGCCATTCGAAACATATTTATTTTAACTTTTTTGTCATAAACAAATAAGGATTTTGCTTTAAGTCTTTTTTTCATGCAACAGTTAAAATTTAATTTCGGAAAAATAAGTTTCTTACAAAATTAAAAAATCTTGTTTCATTTTTTATACCACTTATTTCCTGACACGGTAAAAATAAAAACAAATAATTGACGCATTAACTCCATTGATGGTAAGTTTAAAAATAAAGGTACGTCGTAAAGCTTATTTGGAAGATTTTGTAAAACGTTTCTATGAACTTAAATTTTTAACGAGTTTATCTTTTAATGATTTCCTGATATTTCTTGGCATATCATCATCAATCATCACAATGAGAGAGAAAATGTAGAAATAGAAAACGAGATTGATATTAAGAGAAATATATATCGCTTGATCTAGTATGGGAATGTTATATTTTAATTTTATTTTTGCCTTTAATTTATTTATATTTCTAATTTTCCAATAAAATTTTTGGATTCTTGCTTCGTGTACTACCTGAGAGATAATGACGTATCGTTAGCAACACGTGCACCATAAGTTTAGATTCATTTGGAAAAGCAGTGCAGAATTTCAAAATTTAAAGTCATTGCTTTTTAAAATGGATTATTTGAATGATGACCAGACTTTACTAGTATTTATTAAGCCATTAAACTTTAGCAAAAACTTTATTAAACAGCTGAAATATTTCATATGTGAACACGCTTTATCATTCACGCTTTTTTTCCAAATATCATTAGCGTTCTCGGAATTACCGCTGCATTTTCCCACGAAAAGTATTTCTCAACGATCCCCTGCTCCGTTGCAAATGGATTTATAAAGGAGTAGTTGCTGTGATTTATCGATCGCTAACCCATGTGCTAGAGATTTGGAAAACCTGTGTTTTATTTGAATAATGTTTCTATAATAATATTTCTATATAATGTTTCTAATGACCTTTTTTTAAGAAATAAATCTTATATTTCTGAGAGAAAATACGTAACAAAGCAATATAAATACAATGTGATTTTTATGTAAGTTAATCAGGGAAAATTATAATTAAAAACGTTGACATTTAACTTTATTTTTATTGATTTCCTTTCACTTTTTTTTCACTGTATCTTTAATATAAAAAGTGTAAAACATTTTATAGTCAAATTGCTGATAGACCAAGTTCTAAGTTTCAAATTGGTGCTAAAAAAACAAATAGCACGAATTTTCCTTGAATAGAAATTCTAGCTTAAAATGCACTTGCAAAAAGTAGATAAGTGACACATTCACAATGCGTCTGTTTGGATATTAGACCAATCAGAAAAATATCCCAAAATAGGGAATTGACCTTTAGCAGATTTTGTCAGACTAAATAACACCGTATTTATTCGTTTCTTAGGATTTTTTCCTTGTGTTTTTAAATGCAAATTCTTGCGCTTCTAAATTTGCATTGTCGTTCAAATTTGGTATTTTAAGACAGATTCCAGTTTTGAGTATTTTGACATTAATCCAAGTAATGTTGATATTTTGGAAGTCATTGCAAAGATATAATTTATAAATTAGAGAAAATTTTAAACGTCTTTTTTAAATCAAATACTGTTTTTTCTACCTAAATGCTCATAATTTACAGCACTTAGTAAACTGATTAAGTAAATTCTTCTTCTCTATTGTTCAAAATTATATTGTTTACAGTGTTGCACGAAATATGGTTTTATATTCCAAAATTTAAATTAATATAAGCATTTTAAAACAGTTTTTAAGGCAAAAATTCATTTTTTGGTTTAAAATCTATATAATTTTCTTATTTTTTTCAAAGTTGTTGCATATTATTATTACATTTTTATGTTTCAGAAAAGTTTGATACAACCAACCAGCTAATCGTATTTTTACCAGAGATAAAATACTTTTAAAAACTGTTTGAGTGGTTTAGATTATGTTAATTATTTATATTTACTGAGGATACCTTTATATATATTAAAGAACTTGTTTGATTCGATTAAAATATTTTATTTCGAAATACTTTTAAATTTCTTGTTTTTTGAAATCTACTTTTTTTTCTTCAAAATATTCAATCAGTTCAGATCTTCTTGTTTAAAGTAAATAATTTCTAACTCAAGAATTTTTTCAGATTTAAAGCTAGTATTTGGAAAAAAATGAAGGAAAAATATCATAGAATTATAAATAGTTAGGTAAGTTCCCCTAGTAAAATATTGTTTCATATACACGTGAAGGAAACTACATCAGACAAAATAGTTTATTACTATAACATAAGTTTCTTTACTTATAATTTGAAAATGAAGTTTTTGCAATACATTTAATGAACCAATATTTTTTGTAACCATGAAAAGGAAACTTTGTGAAATGTTTTAATTTATAATTAAATTTAAATCAAAGATAATCAAGTTATTATTAGGAATTTAACTTACTTTAGAATCATACTTGACTTTTTCTTTCTCATTTGTGTTTTTTCGATCAGCGGGGGTCACCCGGATTTGCTGCAGAGGCATTTTCTTATCCCCACATAAACCTTCATGTTGAATTTAAGCATCGTACTCCCATAGTTCCAACAGACGATCTTTGAAAGAAAACAAACTTCACTTTATCGCAGCTAGATGCTAAGCCTCTCAGGAAAAATTCAAATTCCATTTCAGACGATAAATTAATGGAAAGAATAACACCCAAGCGATTACATTGGTATCATTTGATCCTAAATGCAAGGTGAAACATAAACAAGATGTATCCCCAGAGTATGTAAATAAAAAGAGAAGAGAGGGAGTGAAAGAGAGAGAACCCAGGGAAGGTGAAGTGAGCACGAGAACTATTTCCAGTTTCGCATCGTCTGGGCCTTTTTGCCTTTCTTCACTTCGTCATCAGCGCACACAACGGGGCTGCATTGCTTCGTGTCGCCTCGACAAATCGGCTTTGTCGATGAGAAGAGGTCGTGAGATTGGGGCGCATGCGTGGTACCAGCTGACGTCGTCAATGAGGGATTAGGGCTCAAATATATATTGCTGCATATGCATTTAATTGCATGTTCTTTAGTGATATGGCTATAAAAAATTTTTGATTTTTAGAAATAAAAGAACGATGCAATGCAAATAATTTTGAGACTCAGCAAGCAGAAATAATTGTATAAGAAATAGTGAGAAATATATAATACATTTAATTTAAAAAAAATTTAAAATGAAAAGGAATAACATTTTTTAGCGGATGTATTTGAACGATAACATGCTGTTTAAAAAATATCAAACTATTCCTTATAAATATTTAATTATTATAATAATTTTAAGACTTACCTAAAATTTTATTAATATCGATAGAAATTTTTATTTATTAAGTAATAAATAGTCCTTCTAATTATTTTTCGGTTACTTTATCACATTATTGCTAGATATAACAATGTCGAATTAGGTTCTAAATTGCGACGTAGAAAGTTGCAGGTTCGTTCCATGAAAAGCGGATGTACTCATTAAAATATCAGCTAAGCTGACAAAATGTAACAATAACTAATTTCTTTTAACGTACTATACCCTTATTATTAATTTATTTATGCATTAATCTATAGGTTTCCCTAAAAACTCATATGTTCTTGTAATTTGAAGGTCAAAATCATAATTTACAGAAGAACCCACTATCTTCACTATCCCACTATCTTCACGACAATTGTCCCAGCCGAGTAATCGGCTGGGGACAATTGTCTCTCAGTAATACAGAACTCTTTAATTCATTAGTGCTCGACTTCGTGCGCAGGTCGTCGGGCTACCGAAGCAAGGGTGCCATCCCCTCCGCAGAGGATCAAAATTGTGATGGCATGTCTTCGGATCATCCTCCGGGATGTTTCCCAGACCGTCGCCAATAGCCCATTGTGCAGCTCTAGTGCGACGTAAATTAACAACAACAACAACTTTAATTCATTGTTTCAGCTCTGACCCATTTGTAACTGCCGTACACGATCAAACGAAGGTGTTTATTTATGGCAAGATTTAGAATGTCCCACCATGAGTTGCCAACCGACTAAAGCATCAACACTTGCTACATAAGATCATGAGTTCGTGTGCTGTAGAAAAAGTACAGCCCAAATACAACATTTTCATGTATTTATTATTTTAATTATGAACCACTTATAACGATCAAAAGCAGGCATTTATTAATGGCAAGATTTATAGTTTTCCAACATTAGTTTCCAACTGACTAAAAGATCCAATACTTGATACACAAGATCATGAGTTCGCTTGCGATAGAAAAAGTTTAATCCAAATATAAAACTTTCAGGTATGAAAAACTTATAATTGCAGTACATTATCAAAAGAAGGTGTTTATCAATGGCAAGATTTAGAGTGACCCAACATTAGTTTCCAACAGACCAATTAATTATACAGGAAAACATGAGTTTGAGTGCTACAGACAACGTTTAGCCTATTTACAACAGTTTCATACACTTATTGTTGTAATTTATTTAAATACGAATCTACAGGTTTGCCTTAAATCGTATATGTTCCTTTAATTTAAGAATCAAAAATCTTAATTTACAAAGGAACCCACTATCTTCTGGTAGATACTTCATTCACGTCTAACTAGAGCTACACACTTGGCTATTAGTGACAGTCTGGGAAACTACCCTGAGGATGATCCAAAGACAAGCCATCTCAATTTTGATCCTCTGCAGAAGGAATAGTTCACTTGTTTTGGTAGTCCGATGACTTGTACGCGATGTCGAGCACTTAACGGTAGAACAATTTAACGAGGACCAGTTTTATCAGCCGCACACCTTGGTCCCAACGCAGGCTTACTGACAGCAGCAAGTGATGCTTGACTTCGGTGTTCTACGTAATCGACTGGAGATTAATGTCTCACAGTCATACAGAACTCTTTCATTCATTGTTTCAGTTATGACCCACTAATAACAGACATACATGATCAAAAGAAGGCATTTATTAATGACAAGATTTAATATGCTACGACAATAGTTATCATTTTATTAAAGTAGTCGATGCATGATACCCAAATCATAAGATTGTGTATTATAGAAGAAGTGTGGCACGGGAAAAAATGACATACAGCTACTAAATGGTGAATTTTTAAGTTAAGATATTAACTAACTTGCGCCTACGGTATCTTAAACATAATCGAGCTTACGATCCTCTGTTTTCACTCTAATCTAAAACTTCATAAGTTTTTACATCTACGATAATTTAATTGTTCTGGTTCATTAAAATATATCTTAAAGAGGTTAGGCTACTCCAGAACTTTGACAAAAAAATCCTTTTTTCTCTTGTTTCCTTCATTTTTCTCATATACAGTGCTTTATTCTAAAATTATATGCCTGAAGACTTAACAGCTGTAAGAGTATCCAAGTTTTTATTTTTGTAGCAGTCACTCTTAGTCTAGAGCGTGCGTCTAGAAAATTTCAGAAGTGTTTTAATCCAAAATTCATTATTTTAAGTCACCCAAGCTTCAAAATTGACACAATCTTCGATTGATATCAAAATTTAACAGTGTAGTTGAAATTAAATTCTTTATATAAGTATGGAGGAGTAATTCCCTTATGTTGTAAGGGTTTTTTTCATGCCATATACCATTTACTGGAGATTTTTCGGGGAAATTTCTAAATTTCTCAATTAAAAAACCCGTTATTCTGGTAGATATTGATATCTAATCAACGATCCTACTCACTTCTGTAGTTATTCGCATATTTTAATCAAACAAAACATTATTAAATCCTAACTAAAAAATTGTAGTTGTTAGTGGTTCCACCACATACCCCTAAAATAGAAAGGCTTTATCTAAAAAAAAAATTGTGCAGTAACTATTTTTGCTTTGCAACGTCTTGAAAGAATTAACTTATACAGTTATTTAATTGTATAATAAGAAGCATTTTACCGAATTTTGATTTAATCCATTTTCATGCTGAGTAAATAAATTCCATTATGTGCTTCCATTTTCCCAACGAGAGTTGCATAACCTTTCTAAAACTTTTCTTGGCAAAAGGTGTATCTAAATTAGATTTAGAGTGATAAAAGAATTTGATGCGATTGATAATTTTATTGATTACATTGGTATTTTTATTGATTACATTGATATTTTCATTGATTACATTTATAATTTGATTGATGGAGGGATAAATGAGATGAGGTTGATTAAAGAGAGTGTAACTAAAGACCCAAGAATGTCTTTAAAATTTTACCTTACAAGGAAGGAAAAAAAAGTAAGAATTCTAAACTACTAACGGTAATGGTTTTACTATTGAATTTCATTATGGATGTATTTTATAACATTAAAAAGCTGTTTCAATTGACAATTGTTACCCATGATGAGGTTAAAATTTTTCATGATTCAAAAGTTATTTATTACAACTAACCAGCATTTACAACTTTATTTTTCAAAACGAAGTTAATTTAGGGGGTCCCTCACCCTTCTCGTTCTTCTCAATAACTCTCACGATTGCTACGCAATTCCTTTTTTCTTGTAACGATGAACAGAATGCTAAAATAGAATTAAAAATCCCTAAATTAAAACTTTTTTTTATTGTATTAACGCAGTTTTGATTTCCCTAATTTAAATCTTGATTCTACAGAAATTAAATTTAAATCTAACCATTTCGCTCGGTTACCATAGCAACTTCATATACAATTTTGGTTTTGCAACACCTATTTAATTTTTATTACTATAAAAATTCGTTCCATGTTTTTTGGAAAAGAGATTATTTAGTAATAGAGCAACAAGTCATTTCCTAATAAAGTTTTAAAATTTTTTATTTATTATTTTAAATGCATATGTTCACCGATTGCAGTTTCCCACAAAGCTTAAAATAAAAGCAAATTTAAATAATTTATCACTTAATAATTTTCAAATGGTTAATTATTCATATTACTATTTCAAATATTTATTATTAAATGTTTCACAATAAGGTAACATCCATTTGATTACTTTAATGGAATATCTTTTTTTATCCTTTAATTTGCAATAATACTTAAAGTAAAAAAAAGACGTAATAATGGCAGAAAATAATACTAACAAGGGAAACTAGGGAAGTGTGACTCGCCAATCTTAAAATAAACTAGTGGGATGTATACCTTATGAGGAATAATTTTTGGTGGCAACACTCGTTTCGGCCCATAGAAGATCCTGTGAGAGATAAAAAATAATTCAATATATAGAAAAATCGGTATTTTATTACTTCAATGCAGACTATTAGTTATTGTAATTATCTCATACTCCAATTAATTTTCTGGTACTTACTTTCACGTACTATATAATGCATATTTATTCTCAAAATTGATTTTGAAAATTTTATATATCTGTAGTTTTTCAGAAAAACCTGTTAGGTTAATTAAAAAAAAAAATTGACATCAAATTTTTTTACTTTTTTTTTCCAAAATTTTCCAAATTAATTGGAGTATGTAATTGCAAATCAATCAATTAATTAATAATTGATTAATTAATATTTAATTAATAATTAATTGATTTGCTAATTGATTTATTAATTAGAAAATTAATTAATTAACCATACAAATTAATTGGAGTATGAAACAATTGCAATAACTAATAGTCTGCATTGAAGTTATAAAATGTCGATTTTTCTATAGATTGAATTATTTTTTATCTCTCACAGGACCTTCTATGGCCCGAAACGAATGTTGCCCCCGAAAATTATTCCTCATAAGGCATACATCCCACTAGTTTATTTCAAAATTGGCGAGTCAGACTTCCCTAGTTTTCCTTGTAAGAAAGGATGAGAATTAAATATTACTGATAAATACTGTTAAATAAGGGGAAAATATAAATATTTAAATAATTTTGTGCTGAATGACACTAAAAAAATCTGGCTCTCTATTAAGGGCCATTAATATGATGTTTTGACCAATAAAAATACAACAGCGACAATTTTGAAAGCTATTTATTAGACCATTATCTTTTTATGTTAAGGAGGAAAAAAATCAGTGAACTTTACTT